TACATCAGTACAAGGGGGGGTTCAAGTACATCATTGCTCCCCCCCCCATCCTTTGGTCCGCAGGCTGTCACCACCTGTGTGTCCCCCCCCCCATCCCCAGATCTGTGCTGCTGTCCCCTTAGAGCCACTGACGTCCCCAGAGCAGAGGTGAGGAGGGGGACATGAAGGGGTGGGGATGGGGCACAAAGGGACAGGGGGGGGGGGGGGGGGGCACAAAGGGACTGTAGTGGTACACGAAGAGATGGGAAGGCGGTGGCACGTTTGGATCTGCAGCACAAAGGGAAACGGGGCATCATGAAGGGATCTGAGGAGGCATAAAAAGGACTGGGAGGCCACAAAAGGATTTGGGGGGGACAGGAAAGGGGACTTTTGGGTGGCCCAAAGGAATTGGGGGGGGGGCACAAAGGGATTTTGGGAGAGACGGGGTGGGGGGAGGTTAAGTGGAGCAATGGGATTTGAGGTGGCACAACGGGACCTGTGTTGGTACAAAGGGAGGAGAGGGGAGTCTTGTGCTCAACTGAGGTCTGGGTGCCCCCCAGACCCCCCCGGCTGTCCCCATGGAGCAGGATGAGCCCTGCGTGGTGGAACTCCACGACCCGGAGGAGGCGGGCATGGTGCGGAGGGTCTGCATCGGTGAGGAGGGGGTATGGGGGGTGTGGGAGGCAAACAGCCCTAAGGGGAGGGGGGTGGGGGAGAAGGGCAGAGATCCAATGGGCGGTGGGGGGGCAATCAGCCCCAAAAAGAGGGTGAGAGAAAGGGGGACTAACAGCCCCGGGGGGGGGGGTCAGAGAGCACCAAGGAAGGACAAATGGCCTCGGGGGGTCCCAGCCCCCTCCCCAGCTTCTCTCCATCCGCCCCACAGTCGACGATGGCATTGTGAGCGACTGCAAGGAGGAGGTGCTGCCACAGGACATCATCCAGACCGTCATCCCCCCCCTTCCCCTGACCCCCAAGGGCAAGAAGCGGGGGGCAGCGGGTGGCCGAGGCGCCGGGGGCTCCGCCATGGGGGGCTACAGCGAGGAGGAGCAGGAGGGCGGCGGGGGGCGGCTGCGGGGGGGCCGGCAGCGCCCTTTTATCTGCAACGAGTGCGGGAAGAGCTTCAGCCACTGGTCCAAACTGCTGAGGCACCAGCGGACTCACACCGGGGAGCGGCCGAGCACGTGCGGGGAGTGCGGGAAGAGCTTCAGCCAGAACTCACACCTGGTGCAGCACCGCCGCACGCACACCGGGGAGAAGCCGTACCGCTGCGGGGACTGCGGGAAGAGCTTCAGCTGGAGCTCCAACCTCATCCAGCACCAACGCATCCACACCGGGGAGAAGCCCTACAGCTGCGGGCAGTGCGGGAAGAGCTTCACGCAGAGCAAAAACCTCATCAAGCACCAGCGCACCCATTCGGGGGCCCGGCCCCACCGTTGTGGGCAGTGCGGCCGCGGCTTCGCGCAGAGCACCAACCTGCTGAAGCACCAGCGGGTGCACGCAGCCTGCAGCCAACCTCCTGCCTGCCCAGAGTGCGGGCTGAGCTGCTGCGACGGGGCCGAGCTGGAGCTGCACCGGGCGCAGGCGCACGGCCACGAGCCTTACATCTGCGTGGAGTGCGGGGACAGCTTCGCCAAAAGCGCCACGCTCAAACGCCACAAGCGCGTCCACAAACCGGTCTTCGTGCACTGAGCTGGGGGGGGATGCCCTGCCCAAGGGTGGAGTGGCTCAGGATGTGAGCCCCGGACCACCAGCCCGCGGTGAACGTGTAGGGTTGGACCCTATAGATGTATATAGTGTGGGGTGGGGGTGTGTAGGGTAGAGGCAGCGCCGCGCCGCCAGCGATGCAAAGGGCTGGGATGTGGGGCGCGGTGGGACGGCTGTAGAATAAAGCACTTCTGTCTGGGGGACACGGGTGAGTTGTGTTGGGGCAGGGGGGCTCTGCTGTGTCCTCACCCCATCGCACAGGGGAGGTGCAGGGGCTGGGAGCGATGCCTTGGATCACGCTGCCCCATATCAAGGCATTTTTGGAGGAAGCAGGACCCCGAGTCCCATAGTTTGAGAAGCACTAAGTGGGGCGGCAGGCCGTGCCCACGTTGTGTTTATTCTGTGTGCTGGCAGCAAAGTGCTGCTTAACAATAAGGGAAGGTTTGGCTCGTGCTTCGCATCGCAGTGCTGCACAGCTTCAGATCGGAGTGACCGCGTGAGGAGCGTGGGGACAACATGGGGACGGAACGCTCTGCGTCCCTGCAGCGCTCTCCGATCCGCTCCTTGGCGGGATGAGGAAGGCAGGTGCTGAGGCTGAAGGTCACGCCTTGGTGGTGGCCCCTTGCGCTGCCCCCAGGGCTGTCAGCTGCTGGATCTTCTGGCTCATCATCTCCACCACAGCTGTGGGAAGAGGCACCGGGGTGGTGAGAGGCCGCTGACAGCCCCGAGTGCGGAGCAACAGCGGTGCTGGTCCTTACCCTGCTTCATGGCGTGCTTCTCCTGCAGCGCAGGCTGGATCTTCTCCATCTGCTTGGTCAGAAAGTCGATCTTCCGCTTGAAAAACTCTCGGGCGTCGTCTGCAGTCTGAGTGGATAAAGGGCAAAAGCAGCGCCGAGGCGCTGAGTCCCTTCAGGGCCCCCCACCGGAGGCAGCCCTGTTTGCCACCCAGTGCCGACAGGCGGCTGTTCTGGGATCAGCCCACACCGCCCGCACACCGCAGCACGGCCCCCGGCTGCGAAAAGGCAGCGAGCACCCCTGGGAACTGCATTCCCCTCCTGGGGCTCAAAAGTCGCACCCTGCGTGCGCCATCAAGGAGCAGCAGCAGCGGGAGCAGCAGCAGCTTGCCTGCAGCCTGCGGCACAAACAGGAGGAGCTGTTCCAAAGGGAACACGGCGCATTTGCCAAGCTGCCCCGCGGCAATCCGGGCGCACGCCCCTCACCTTCTCCACGTAGTAACCGGTTCCGACATCGATCAGCACGCGCTCAACATCTGAGAGCTTCCCAGGGACGTACATCTGGCAGGGGCGGTCAGGGAAAGTGGGGAGCCGGGATGGTTACACAGCTTTGGGAGCTGAGCTCAGCCCTGGTGCCAGCAAGGCCACGCCATACTGCTGGTGTGGGTTTGTGACGGATCAAAGGCATTAAGGGCTGGAAGTGCCAACCCTAAAGGCCCTGGAGAGGTTAACAACATGGGGCTGCAAAGGATACAGAGCTGGTGAGAGGTACCAGCAGGTCCTTCCCTGCAGAAGAGCAAGCAAAGATGCGTGAGTGCTAGGGCAAGGGGAGCCCCTAGGGCTTAAACTCAACCCAAAGCATCTGGGGAGGGTGTTACAGCCACATCTGTTCCCCCAGGTGCATCGCACCTGGCAAACCCCCCCCAGAAAAGGAAGCAGAGCCCCAAGGAATTGAGAGGGGCAGGAGGCGGAGCTCTCAGTCACTCTCCCAAAGCGGGGGTTGGCACGCCTCAGTCCCAAGTAATTCTGAGCAGCAAAACCAGGAAGGAGGGAAGCAGAACCTGCAGCCTCTCAGGAGTCCCACTTGCCTTCGTTGCTTTTGTTGAGCACGTTGAGGCAGTCCTTGGCTTCCACATACTTGGTCTGCACTACTTTGAGCTGGGTGATGGAGGACGAGAGAAATTCCACCTCCTGGGGAGAGAGCGCAGCCCCACCATGGGGGGAATGGGTAGAGGGGACCCCAGGACCAAGTGGACCCTGGTGGGGTGGAGACCCGACTGGAGGATGAGATGAGGAATAGCCTCAGATCTTATGTAGAAAGAGCAGAAAGTCCTGCAGGCCCTGAGGGGCAGGCGTAGGGTGTGGGGGGAACAGCAGGAAGCAGCCGTGTACTCCCCTGTACTCAGCACTTGTGAGGTCGCACCTCGAGTACTGTGTCCAGTTTTGGGCCCCTCACTGCAAGAAAGACATTGAGGCCCTGGAACGTGTTTAGAGGAGGGCAACAAAGCTGGTGAGGGGTCTGGAACACAGGCCATATGAGGAGAGGCTGAAGGAGCTGGG